GGGGCCAGGGGGGAGGGGGGTGGGGCTGAGGAGACAGGTGGAGGCGGAGCCAGAGGTGAAGGGGGTGGGGCTGAGGAGACAGGTGGAGGCGGAGCCAGAGGTGATGGGTGTGAAGGAGACAGAAGTCAAGGTAGTGGGAGGAGAAATGGATGGGGGTTGAGGCAGAAGTAGCCGGGTGGTTATGGAGATGGTGGTGCTGTGGATAATGCGGATACCAGCGGTGGAGTGATCCTGGCATTAGGGTGGTAGCGTTAGTGATTAGAGAGAGTAGTGATGGTGATGAGGAGGTAATGGTGAGTGGGAGCGATGACGGTAGAGGGGGTAGTGGTGGAGACAAGGGCGGAAGGGATCTGGGTAGCACTGGAGGGGATGTAGGTGGAAGCGGTGGGCGGGCGGGCCTAGAAGCGGAGGCGTGGATGCAGAGGTGGGGGTGAGGATGATGACTGCACAAGCTGGGCTAGTCTGGAGAGAAGACGGGACTGAGTGGGAATGGACACAGAAGACCGGGACAGAGGCACAGAGGATCCTGATGCTCACTCCCTACCCTCCGTGAAGGTCAAATGTAGAGCAGTACCCGATGCAGTGTGTGTGTGTGTGTGTGTGTGTGTGTGTGTGTGTGTGTCCTATCTTCCTTGCGGGTGTCTATAGAGACACCCTGTGCTATTTATGAATGTCGGAAAGGGGTGGGACCAAGTGGATGCCTCCGAGGCCAAGAAAGAGCTAGGAAGCCAGAGATGCAGCAGCTGGCCCCGTCCCACCTGTTTCCCAAGGCCTCGACCTTCCACAGTCACTCCTCACACCTGTCACCCCCTGCAGCATTGTTCTGGTTACCTTGCCTTTTAGTGACCCCTCGAAGGTTCCTGGGGAGACTCTGGGACCCCCTTCATTCCCCTCCCTTTGTTCTTGGTTCCCTGCTGAGTACCAGTCCCCTGGGGCCCCAGGCCTCTGGCTGCTCACTCTGCATAACGGCTGAGGCACTTGACACTACTGGGGGAGCCACGCAAGCCCTGTCGTCCATTGACTGAGATTTGAGCTTACTGCCAAGCCTTTCTACCAGCCTTGGTTTACCATCTGGCCAACAGGTAATGATGGATACTTCCAGGGAGGGTACCGAGAGGCCCAGGCTGCCCAGGAATAGAGAGCAAGAAACGTAATGAAGTCCTGCAGACCAGCGGGGCCCCAGGAAGCCTCCGCTCCAAGGGGACAAGACCCCCTCCTCTCTTTCCCATGACATGGCAACAGCTGCTGCCTCCCCCTGGACTGGAGGAAGCTTGGGCTGAGTCATGGGCTCAACTGGGAACATGACAGGCCTCCCGCAGGACAATGGCTCCCATCCAGGCTTAGTGGGAGGCCGGGTGAGTGTGAGGCAGAGGAGGGCCAGGCACCTCCTCCCGGGATTTACATCTGGAGCCAAAACCGGGAAAGGCCCAGGAGTTGGCCCAGGAGCTATCAGGCCCTTCCGGTACCAGCTTAGGCCGACCTCAGGGCCCATGACAAGCAAGCCCCACCCTTTCCTGAACTTGGCCCAAGCCGAATGAAGTTGATGTCACTTTGCTGAGGCCATGCTATTAACCTGCCCGAAGGCCTGGTAAGGAGGTAGCTAGAGCCTGGAGAGCACAGGGGAACATCTGCACTCCTATTGAGTGGCTAGCACAGGGAGGTGGAGGGTACCTGGCATAGGCCCCGCCACCCACTACAGACGGCCCAGAGAGAGTGAGGGCAGCAAGAAAGCCCTTGGCCCAGCCCCACCTGAAAGAAGTGTGGTGGGAAGGAGACCAGAGAGCAAAGCAGAGGCAGTTTGGGGCTGGGTGGTTTGGAGGAGGTAGAGAGCCAGGATCCTGCCCCTTCCTGCTTCCCTGGGACTCCTCTCCCATCCTCCAGCTGTGTGTGTGGCGGGAGAGCTGGGAAAAGAGGGTGCCAGTCTCCAGGCCTGTCACCGTCCACTCACCCCACAGAGCATGAGTACTCCCACCCCCCAGCCCAGCAATGCTCACCTTTCCTAACCCCAAGAACAGCCACAGTCATCTTCACCTGTGGTTGGCTTTATTACACTATCAGTGTGACTGCCAGAATGTGTGAAATGGGAAGACAGCACTCATTTCTAGGAGTGGGCAGGCTGCCCACACAAGCAGGGCTGTGCAAACACCCCAGCCAAACCTACGTGGGAAGAATTGTCCCGTGTAGTCATTTCCCGGTGGTCCCTCCAGGGGCAGAGCAGCAGTGAGACCACGAGCAGGGACAGTAGCTGGGTTGATTGGCCCCAAGAACCCCCACACAGCAGAACGCACCCGGACTCATACACACATCTGCCCTGTGCTCTCCACACAGGCAGTGTGTCAGGCATATGCATACAGGCAACCCGAACAGTGCCAGTTATAAACTTACAACCAGTCACTTATTCTTTCTTAGCTTCACAGTAACCGCACCAAAGACTAATGAGTCCAGTGTTGACTCAGGGCAGATTTGCTGCCCTGGGAAAGCAGGCACTAAGGAAAACCAACACAGTGGTCTTCTGCCTGCTCATTTGTAGTCCTATAGATACAGGTACAGACACAGACACAGACACAGACACACAGACACACACACAACACCAATGGGGTCAGAAGCCAGAATGTCATCGCCTCTTCTCCAGCTCTCTGAACTGCAGCCTGTCCCCGACCTCCTGTCTCCATCCTGTCTTGGAGCATCCCAGACAGGCACCAGCTTCCCAGGCCAGCCATGGACATATTGGGAGAGCACAGAGAGGGTTAGGAGGCGAACAACGGTTCTGTCCACCTTGGAGAGACCAACTGTCACGTCACTCTAGTCCAAGCAGACAAATAAATACATCAAGCGTTAGAAGACACGATGACTTAGACTTGGCCCACCTCTGTCCCTGGGCTATTTGTAGTCATCAGAGATGGCCTGTTGGGGAATGGGCAGGTTGTTTTAGGCAGTTCTACCACTTGCTGAGGCATGGCTGAGGCCACCCCCATCCTGCCACACCCCCTTCCTGAAACCATCAAGGTTTTGGGACAGCAAAACTTGCTTAGGGAGCAAGTGGCCAAGGTAAGGTGTCCCATATCCACCAGAGGCGCAGAGGAAAAAGTCCTTCACATTTCAAGGGTGCCAGACTTTCTTCAAAGGCTGTACATGAAGGGAGAGGCTGCCTCCTGTCTCCCTGTGACAGCTGCTCCTACCCGTGCCCCACAGCAGGAGGTGGCACAGCAAACATTGCTCCTTTTCAACTGGGCAAGCTTTGGTCTTGTGTTTGGTGCCTGGGAATGGCTACAGCTCCAGGGAGACCCTTAGACAGCAGGAGAGTGACTCCCACGGTCAGGCCTGCTGGACCACAGCGTTAGCTTCAACATGCCAAGCTTGGCTCATGGCAGGATCTGCCATTTCCAGCCCTGTGACCCCAGTAGGGGATACTTGGAGGGTCCTCACCCAGTATCAGACATATGGTGGCCTTGTGAGGCCCTTCTGATATAAAGAGAATCCATTTTCAAATGTCCCTTCTTTGCCCAAAGTTCTACCTCTGCTTCACCCCAGCAGCAGTCTCTCCAGGGACACCCAGCTTTGGCCACCCTCACAAGGCTCCAGCGTCCCCAATAGAGCTGTGCCTCCTGCAAAGCCAGCTGTGTCTCTATGACCCCTGCTGGTACTTGTGCCTGAGGCCTCCTCAGCAGGGGTTCCTGCTGCCACTCACCAGGGGTGGCCTGTTCACTCAGTGCACCCTGTTAGACGCTTGCATTAATGACTTTCTTGACAAGCGAGTCATTCCATGATGGCACTAGGCATACAGGGACACTGTTGAGTATCCCAGTAGGGTGGTCAGGGATGCCCTGGGGACAGAGGAAAACTGTTACCTCACACTGAGGAGCCTAGGCCTCATGAATAGGCAGGTGCAACACCCCTGGAGCCTTGCTGGATAGGACACTGAGGAAGACAGTGCCCCTAACTCGGCAGGGAACAACCTGTGCTGGTATGTGGGGTGGAGAGTGAAGTGTAGGGGGAGGCAACCCATCCAAAATTCAGCAGCATGCATTCAGGTTGGCAGGTGGAAACTTCTAGCCTCCGGGCAGGCTAGAAGCAGCCTGGGCTGCTTCTTCTGTCCCAGAGTCCCATCCAGGAGGCCCTGCCCTGTCTCCACCGTGGGAATACAGAAAAACAAAAACAAAAACAAAAAACACTTCACACCAGCAAGGACTTGACGAGGCCGTAGTGGAACTTGCGGACATGGCGATACAGGTCCCCAGACTGTGTGAATCGGCGCTCACACCAGCGTCAGGCAGGGGGCTTCTCCCGTGTGTGGACCACAGCATGCCGGCTTAAGTTGTGTGAGTACTGGAAGCTCTTGCCACACTGCACGCATGTATAGGGCTTCTCCCCAGAGTGTGTCCGTTCATGCCTCTTCAGTGTGTACGTGCAGGAGAAGGTCTTGCTGCAGAGTGGGCATGTGGGCACGGCGCCCTCAGGAGAGAGCCTGGCACGGACGCTGTCTCGCTCCCGGAAGTGGGCGCTGAGGTGCAGCTGCAGTGCATGGGTGCTAGGGAACAGCTTGCAGCAGAGAGGGCAAATGCAAAGGTGCCTGTCGGGACCCAGCGCCTCACTGTCCACCACAGGCTCTGCATCCAGCCCAAGCTGCTGGCTGCCTGTTCCGCGGACGCTCAGTGGCTCCAAGTCCACCGCCAGGCCTTGGGCTGCAGATGCACAGACTGGTGGTGGGGATCTGTTGGCGCTCCGAGGGCTGCTGCTACCTTGATCAGAGAGTGAATCTTGCTCAGCCTTCACCAGAGGCTGGGCCCCTTGCTGCACGGAGCTGCAGAAGGTTGTCTGGAGGGTACAGGGTGGGTGGACCTGCTCCAGTCTTGGACCAGGCTTCAGAGACAGGTCCAGGGCCCCACTTGACTCCCCTGTGACCTGCCAAGATGGAGGTCCAAATGTTGGCAGGGGATGGGCAGCCTTGACCCCTAGAGATGGGGGTTTGGCTTTTGGTGCGGCGTGGCAGAAGTCAGGGGACCAGGAAGGCAGGGAGTGTGGTGGCTGACTAGGAAGCTCTATCCCCAGAGCGCGGGTCTCCAGATCCGGGTCTTTCTTCCTAAGCCTGCCCTTGCAGACCTTGACGATGTCATACATGTGCAGGTAGCTGGCAGCAGCCAGGACGTCCTCGACAGGCAGGCTGTGCAGGTCCAGGCGGCCCTCGTACATGAAGTCCAGCAGGCGGCTGAAGGCTGGCACCGTGACGATGTCGCCGTTGAGCCGCACCGTGTCGCGGCTGCTCGCGGGCTGGTCCCTGTAGAAGAGATGGAAGTAGACACTGCACGCGGCCAGCACGGCGCGGTGCGCAGGGAAACGCGCGTCGCCCACCAGGACGGTGCAGTCGCACAGGAAGCCCAGCTCGCGCTGCTGCCTCA